TGTTTTTGTTTGGTAGTTTTTGGTTGCTTGGATGTTACTATGAGTCCCATTACAGAGGATTTGAAATGGGAAGGGAGCATAGAGAACAAGATATAATTAAAATAATTTTAAAATCCCTTTACTTATCGAGTGGTTCATTGTACTTTTCATCCTGTTTCTCAGCAGCATTAAAAGCATGAATAATTTATTTTTACAGTGAGATCACAATGAACCAACATATATCTACTTTTGGCACTATACTATATACTATCGATTTACATGTTGATTTAATAAATATAAACAAAGTGGTATGGGTTATTAATATTTTTCAACACTAGTACCTATGCAGTTGTATAGAATACAGTTACATAGAGTTGAATCAAAGTGTGTGAATCTACACATATTAAATGCTTCTGATATTTAAATCAAGCTTCTGTAAGAGGTATGAACCCAAAACTAATTTAATTATTCACTTAAGAATTGTAAATTTTCTTCTATCTTTTGACATATAAATATAAGGCATTCTACTAACATGTCTGATTTCATAGATTTTTCCCCCCAAAGGCAATCATCTTAAAGTTCATATTAAATAAAAAATAATTTATTTTCTTTCTAGCTGTTAATTCTACATAAGAATGTTAAAATACCCATATTGACATATCTTTGAATATGGGTGGGCATCATCTTTATTTTTATATTTCATTATAAATTTTAAAAAGATGAACTTGCGTTGTTTTAACTAATCAGGTTAGTTTAGTGCCAAGTAAGACTGAATTATTTTTTTGTGCTTTGCATTTTCTCTGTTAGGAACTGCTTAAAATCACATTTGCTGAAAACATCTTTGTTGGTTCTAACGGATTTTATCCTTCATATAATTTATTATTATTTCACATAAGTTTGAGGGTTTTTGAAAACAGATATGTAGGATTTATTGGAGTCTCTGAAAAAGAAAACTCATTTAAGTAAATATTGTAGGTACTGTTAATGCCAGGTAGTTATATTGCATGAAGAAAATTGTATGGCCAGGCAGTAGGGGCATACATCTTTAATTCCAGCACTCAGGAGGCAGCGTCAGGTGAATTCTAGGCCAGCCTGGTCTACAGAGTGAGATCCAGGACAGCTAGGGCTACACAAAGAAAACCTGTCTCAAAACAAAAAAGAAAGGAAGGAAGGAAGGAAGGAAGGAAGGAAGGAAGAAAAGAAGGAAGAAAGGAAGGAAGGAAGGAAGGAAGGAAGAAAGGAAGGAAGGAAAGAAAGAAAGAAGGAAGGAAGGAAGAAAAAATTGTATGATGAAAACTTCAGTGAAGACATAAGAGATGTAAGGCTGAGGAGAGGTGTTTTTCATATGCATATAATAAAGGGTCCTTCCACATCAGAATAATAAAGAAGTGGTATCATCTTACAGAGATTAGGACAAAAGACTTTGTCATGTGCATATATTACGGCATGTTAGACAATAAGGAAATGTTGGTTTTGTTAAGTGAAATGAGACTGAGTTCATTTCAGCCAGAGTAAAGAAATTATTGCAAATTATTCATCTACAAACAAAATTTTCTACTGAGAGACATTTACTAAATATAAGGGCCTGTATCATTTTAGATTCAATTTTATTGCATCATTACAATAACTGTACTTTGAGTTTTAATGTACCATTTAAAAAAAAAAAAAGCGTACCATTTTGGCTTGGAGAAGGGATTAAGAGGGCAAGAGTATCTGCTAGGTGAACATGAGTACCTCCATTCAAATTCAAGCACCCACGCTAGAAAAAAGTCTTGGTATGGTTGTGTACAGTCAGTAATTCTACCATTGTGGGGTCCAGAGACAATGAAATGGCTGGAGTTTATAGCCACCAGCTTACTAACTCTAGCAGCTTACTAACTCTGACATCGTCCTCTGCCCCCCTCAAACATTTACACACAGAGGTTCAGGTACCAGTAAGCATGTTCAAACACACACATATGCCATGCACTTCCACCCCAAACAATACTTTACCTACCTTAAGTGTTGTAGATTTGCTTCATTTATTTAGGTAGACATGGTACCAGATGTACACTTTAATGCCCCACCAACAGTGAAATAAATTCTATTGCAATGGATTGGAAATAAGAATCAGTCTTTTGTGGAGTAACAGGAAGAAAGGTAATTGTCTTAGCCTGAGATTAATGTGCCTTGTACTAGTAAAAGCTTACTTGTATTAACTCCCCAAAATTTGGGAATGCAAACATTTTCATTTCATACTTTCCATTCTGCACCTGGTTTTATGCTAGGGAAAGGTCATTGGTGAGTTGTTTGTTCTTAAAGTTCCCATGAGGCAAGGCAAATAAGTGAATTACCTGGGTGGTATTTAAGCCCACAAAAATCTATCATCTATAACCTAGGGTCCTAGGTAAAGCTCTTCCATCTAGCAAGAATGTGTCCAAAGGTTATGTTTCCACCACATTTTTTTAAGGAAAAGCATTTGTTTTCTTTTGATTTTAAGTTTTATTTAATACAAGAAGGATAATTAATGCAAGAAATAGCCCACGATGTCTACTCTCCTGTCTGTTCGGAACAGCAGCTATCATAGCTTTCTTGATGCTAAATTAGGTAAGAATAACCTTGACAATCTGTTTCTGTCTAACCTGAGGCTTTATGACCTCTGCAGCCATGGTTACCACCTTTCCTTAAGGATTTCTTTATCCCTTCAGCTGAATAAGCAGCACTTTGTAAGTGCTCTGGTAAATTAGTGAGGATATATTACATATTTTAAGTCATTTGATGATTGTTATCACTACTATGCAAAAGTAATTCATTTCATAAGACAGAACGATTCCAAAGGATGCATATGCATGTGGTTTACACTGCAATTTAAATAGCAATCCAAGGAGGCCTTGAGACAACATACCCCTATTACACAAGAAAGTAAATTCTTTTGTTACAGATTAACATGGGAAAAAATGGCATACTCAATACAGTCTCTAAATAGTAAATCCCTTTTATGCCTTCCACACTATAAATTATAATATATAATGTAGTTAACTGTATATATAATGGTATTAAGCAGACTTTACCAAGGAACTACAAGCTTCTACAAGAGAAGTGTGGGGATTAATTGTGAACTGGGCAGTTGTTCAACTATTGGTCTAGTGTATATATCTTATTAATCAAATATAGATATATGTTTATATAATCGGATAGCAGTGTGAAACTAAATTGTTTTTACATGGCCTATTTGATGGTATGAGAAAGACAATATCAGAAAATAATTTTGCAGAGAGCTTCATTATAAACAGTGTTCTCAACATACAGATTTATTTTCTTTATTCATTTCTTTATTTTGCTTTTTTGTTTGATTCTTTACTTTCTATTGTGCTATGAAATTGTCTTTGGGTATGACTAATAACCCTGTTAAATAACCCTCTCATGAAATGGTTTTACTTTTAATCAAAAGAATGTATGAACCAATGTATGAAATAATTGGGATACCACTGGATGTTGAAAAATGAAAACTAATATGAATGTTTCAAGCTAAAGCATATAATGAGAAGATTTTCTAAATAGAAGACTTGAATAGTATTCATTCACTGAAGTCAAACTTGCTTATCTTTGTGGGGTTTATTTTTTGGAAACCTAAACAAATTTAAATGACTTTTCTCTTCACAATTGATTATTTTTTAATTTGACATTCCTAATCATCATTGTGTATGCATGCGTACATGCATTTTAATTTGGTCCTATTGGTGATGAAATTGACTATATGATGTAGCACTTGCTTCTGAATGTAGGAAGAACAAATTATTTAATGACCATTTAAGAAATAGAAATATAACTCTTGAACCCGGATATAGGTTCCTAAGGGAAAGTATATACCTTCCAAGTGGTTCATCCAATCCAGAAATGAAAAAGCAGATCATTTACTTAAAAAACCAGGAACACATTTTAAGAGAATAAACACATGGACAGTTTAGGGCTAAAATAGCCAAAACCTGTTGTTAGGCAGATAAATGACAGTTTACTGTTAAATCATGCTGATCATGTACATGTTTGCTTTATTTGACTGGTAATACATTTGGCTGTAAGAAATCACCAAACTTAGTGCTTTCTAAACAACACAGAACATTTATGACCATATTTCCAGAGCTGACTAAGCCACTCCTAAGATTTAACAAAATTCTCACTAAATGCTGAGAAGTCCTCTTAAAAGAGACATTGAGTTCTTTACAAACTGGACTGTGAAAGCAGGAAACATGTGGAAGGCAAAGATTAGGACTCTTTTTAAGGCTCTCGGAGAATGATTAGAGTAGAATAATCTGCTTGTATTCCTCCTCAGAGACACTGAAAGTAGAGAAAAATCTAATGTAGAATGGTTTTGGTAAAGATGTCCTGGGACTCAACTGCTAATTTAAACAATTAAAATGGATTTTTGATTCTAAATTGCATCCAATGTCTAAGACCAAACATAAAATTTGATAAGAGAATATCCCTAAGATGTGTTACTGTCTCCTGCCTAGCCTCGTGAAATTCATAGAACCTGGAAATCTGTGATTCTGAGAGAATTCAAAGGACTGAATTAATAATCCCCACAAAGAATCAAGGGAATAATAATCAAGCCATATTCTTTGTGAACAGACACTGAGTACTGAACTTATAGCTCCTTTGGTTTTTGTTGTTATTTTTAATGACATTTTGTTTCCCTTCAGGGAATGAATTTTTATTTCAGTCATTGACATTCTTAGGAGAAAAGGAATTCAAAGTGTGGTTATTTCACCATTACTAGTAAATACAAGTTATTAATATAATGAGTTACCAAACAATAACCACACTGAGTCAATGGGCATCGGAAGCACAGCAGGTTGAATGTCTTTGAATGAGTTGCAGCTACAATCCATTTGGACTGCTGTGTAAGGAGCTGCCAGATAGCAAAAATGAGAGGTTTATTTAGCATCCGGGGAAGCTTACAAAAGAGCTAAGTCCTCATTCCTTCTAACATCTTAACAGCTCAGCTCTACAATTTCTTACAAAATATGTTTTATCGTTTCAAGAAATGCTGTTAACCTCGCAGTTTTAAAACTGAATGAACAAGGCCTCTTGGACAAATTGAAAAACAAATGGTGGTACGACAAAGGAGAATGTGGCAGCGGGGGAGGTGACTCCAAGGTTAGCCTCAATGTCACCAAGAGCGGGTAAACAGTTTGTCAGTAATAGGGGCATCTGCTGGGAGACTTGTTCTGTCCCTGCCCATAGATGGACTACTAGTCAAGCCCTTCACAAACTCAAGTATGCAATTACTGTCAAAACAAAAATATTTGCAACTGTTACTAATTTGTTATTAATTTGTCACAACTCCAGTGACAATAAGTGTGGAAAGCTATGGCTTTAAGGAATCCTGTGGAGCTGGTTTTTGGAAAGTAGGAAGTCTCTGAAGGAGTGAGTGGCATAGTATTAAGTGAAGAGGGGAGAAAAGGGTAAAACTTACTTGTTTTCTGCATTAATGATTGGCGAGACTGATCCTGAATTTTCAGTTAACATTGATCACCTTGATTTGTCTAGCTTTCCAACCAGACAGCCTTTTCCAGACAAAGCATTACAATGCAGCAACAACACAATTACTTTGTTTACATAATTGTTTGCCTTTCCGTTAATGGATGAATCAGGAATCAATAAGACTACAAAGGAATAATAAATCATTCTTGGTTTCACCTCACACATACCATAATTTCTGCCTTGCCATTTTTTTTTCAAAACTCTAGTTAATTTCTTCAAAATAAAATAAGAAAGTACATGATTAGGATGTATTCTAACTATTGACCCAGAATAATATGTATATGTATATATGTAGATCAGTGTTTATAGATAAAGAAAACAATAGTCTAGATAGGAAACTCTGAGAAACTACCTTCAATCCATAAAAACATAATTAAAACTTTAAATAATGCCTTCAAAATCATAGATTTACTTAATCTAGAAAAAAATCACGAATGCTTCCTTCTCCCAACCCTTAACAAACAAAAAAAGTCCTATTTATCTTCAGGTTACTCATTGAACTGTACATTTTCTCACTGGACCACCTAAACTTCAATAGGATTCTGTGTTCTCTAGGGATCTGCTGAGATCTACCATCAACACTCGAGATCTCAAACTAAAAAGTCTCTCAAACTGAGTTCATTAATATCTTCCTGTAATAATAAGCTCTTAGGCTAGAGAGGGCTCGGCTGTTAAAAACTAGGCTCACAACCAAATATATAAATAATCAGCCCTATTGTAGAAGGACAAAAATAAATATTTTGTCTTGATCTCTCTTAATTCTCTCTCTGATGCTGTGATAGAGTGTCTGATCCTAAATAATTCACAAAGAAATAAAATCCAGAAAGCACAGGTAAGGGCTCAGAATACTTCAAAACAACTAATGGTATGTGGCAGTGGAGGGGGGAAAGAATAAGAGATTGAAGAGGTGAGAACCAAACCAGGAAAGACCAGACAGTAAAGGAGAAAAGAACAGGGAGCACTCAGGGCTGCTATCTCAGTAACAGCCTGCTTTTGTGAGAACCAACCCAAACCCTCAAAGCCTAATCTAGTCAGGATCATAGCCTCCGAACAGAAATATTAAGCCATTGATGGCCTCAGATCCCGTATGATCACACAGACCTCATAAAAGACCTGCCACCTCAAGGCAATCACATTCAGGAAACAAACCACATTTATGTTATAGCGTTAGCTTCAAGTGTAGCAAATAGATTCATTTTATATTCTGGACCTCACCATCCCTAGAATTTTCTCATGGTTCTCATATACACAAAAATACATTTATGTATGGAGACAAAAGTATCCCTGTATGAAAATTAGGAATGTCAGAAAATTTCTGGTGCTACACCAGCACCAGAAAACTTAAAGTGACTATGTTACATAGTTAGAAAATTTCTGTTTGAAGATTTTATAATCACAAACCTTTAAAAAAAGAGCAATGCTCTTTTATGGATTAATTTTTCTACAAATATAAACATCTGTCCCATTTTAGGGTACAAGAAAGATTATCTATAGAAAAACAAGCAAAACACAAATCTGTGTATGGTAGGCAAATCTACACAACAAGAATCATTAATTAAATGAGAAATTCAACAACTCTGTCAGTTCAAAACATCTTCAGTTCAAGAAAATGTTTGGTACATCACAGACATGAGAAAGCAATTGTGGCCTCAAAACTACTTTATCACCCCTAAAAGCAAACATCAGTACTTTCAGCCTATATTGTCATAGTTTCACAAATACAAACAAGAAAATTGTGTTCTAAACCATTACTTTAAGTCTTGACAGGGAAGTTTCCAAAGTGTTTAAAAATTTAACATAAAGGACTCACTTAAAATGAAATGACAGTATGTTGTTTTCCCTGGGGAGTTTAGTTTCCATATACCTCCATGGTTTATCACCAAGAGAATAAGTTCATAGAGGTCTAAAAGTTAATAATGTCTTAGTGTAAATTCATGGTAAAAGGTGATATTTAAATTCCCTAATTTAAGCCAGAGAAATCAGTATGAAATGCTTATGCTTTTCTAATTCACTTTCTGTCATCTTTAGATGACTAGGAGTCATTGTAAACTTACTTTTCCTCTACCATTTTGCGTTTTCTCCCTCAAAAAAGGGTAAAATCAGAAGTAAAGGGGCTAACTGTAAGAAGAAAACAGGATCTAAAGCCGTGATTAAGGGTATAAACTGCAGATATGAAAGACAAATCCAGAGATCTTCACACAAGCCATGCAAAAAAAAAAAATAGCTTATTTGATTTTGAGATACAAGTCTTAATAAATGATTCAGTTTGCCATCAGTAAGAGGGGGTCATAGCCAAAGCCTGTACCACACGTTTTCATTATTGCAGGACTGAAAGATTATAACTGGATAAGCCTGGGACAATTCAGATCCCCAGCTTCCATTCAGATGGCAAATATTACACTTTTGGTTTAATTGAACAATGTGGCTGCACCTAGAGATAAAAAGAGAAGGTTTTCCATTATCTGTTCCCTCAAGGAACTTACAATTTAAGACAGTCAACAACAGAACCATTCAGAGCCCCTATGGCACCTTTGCTGGACGATGGCTGTGCAGAAATCAGTACCCTGCAGACATTCCCAACACTGAAATTCTGACCATAGCAACCTTCAACCATAAAAATTCAACAAGAGTTATGAAAGAAAAGATTTTCATCTTCCAGGAAAAACAGCAAATGATAAATCATAATCAAGTAAAACCATTTGTTTGAAAATGCTTTGTTGGTGCTAACATTACTATAAAATTAGTTTAGTCATCATGAAAATTTAAACCCATCCTTGTAAGTGGAACAAGCCTACATTTACTGACAAGGAGCCAATGAAATATGGATTACAATGTGTAAAACATATTTTCCCTTTGATTATTCACCTGAGGCTTCATTTAAGTACAAGCCAATGTATGTATGGGGTTTTAAATCTTGACTTTATTTGAGATTTTTGCAAATGCCTATACCTACAGTACTAGTAACAGCTACACAGTAGACTTCTTTTGTATTTTTTGTCCCTTATTCTCCTATCTACAGATATATCCATGCACATGGATGTGAATGTTCATCAAAATCACTTAGTAGGTGTAATCCTTAACTTATGTATTCCCTAAAGTTATATTCCAGCTCATAATTCCTGCATTTATATTTGACATTCGAGTGAATGCAGTTGATTCCTGACTTTAATAGATTTTATATTTATAAACTATGTATTACCTGATACCAAAACCATGAAAATGAACGCAAGACTAAGAGACTAATATAGAAAAAAATTATTCAGAAGCAGAGAAACTATAATAGAACAGAAACCACTAGACACACATCTCTTGGAAAGGGCTCTTCTAGTGTCACATTCTTTGTTTAATATATGCACTTCCTCTGATTGAATATTAAGTATCGTTAATAATAAATATCTCATATCTGGATTGACAATGTATTCACAGCCTCTAAAACCAAGCTATTAGGCTGACTAGCAGAAGACACAAAGAGGCGAGGGAAAGGGAAAAGGGAGTAGAGGGAAGGCATACAGAAGAAGTGAGAGGGATATTTGACAAGTGATAACCCACAAATGTTGCCATTAGTTTTCTTTTCTAGAAGAAAAGTTGAAAGATACTCCTATACTGCTTTCATATCCCTCCTCACTTTTTTAAACATCCAAACACTTCTCTTCTCCAGTCCAATCCATTAAAAAAAAAAAAAAAGCATTGTAAGTCTAATATAAATTACCTATCTTGTGTTGGGATTTTTAAGACTTTGTAAAGTTAACCCCAGGGCCTAAACCTTTTATAATATCAATTATGGTGTGAGGCTGGGGCAGGAGAATTACTTAAGCCACACATTAAAGACTCTCCCAGGCAGTGCAAATTTCAAGACACACATCCTTTATTGTATCAATTCTAAGAAGAAAGCTTACTCTTGACTCTACTTAATTGAATTGTGACAGTTTGTAGGTCCCTTATTCATCAGCTATTCTGGTAAGTACTGCTTCAGGAAGATGAATGAACTGTAGACCTTTATTATCGAGGAGTTTAGATGACTAAGTTGGGATATGGAGAGCCGAAGTGTGGATAGAAGTGGAATTGTATTGACAGTAAGTCAAGATCAATTGAGTTCATTTTAGCGTCCCAAATAAGCCTTTACTAAAATAAATCTTTAATAGACAGCTAAATTGTTGTTGATTTTTAACCATAAGGCAGCTAGAACTTCAGGATCATGTCAAGTACAGATTATTTTTTAAGTGGAATAATACACCTAAGTTATAGTAAAAGCTTAAAACACCAATTCAAAAACATGCATTTGTATTCAGATCCCATATGAACAAAATAAACTAACATTAGGGGGTGGTTTTATTACAACACCTAACGAGAAATATTAATAAACTAAAACCCCAATTTATGTCTTTGCAAAAGCTATGAAGGCAGACTATCACAAATCCGGGTTTAGATAATGCCCTGCTATATAATTGCTAAGTTAATCCCTCTTGGAATATTTGTTTATTAAAATGGGAATGACAGGAATAAAGATATAAAGTGTTGTCAATAGTTTCTGACTCACAGCACTCAGTTTCTATTGCTGTGATAAAGACCATGATCAAACACAGCTTAGGAAGGATAGCATTTCCTTCACCTTTCAATCTCCCAAATCACAATCTACCATGAGGGGGAGCCAAGGCAGGAACCTGGAGGTGGGAACTGAAGCAGGGGTGCAGCTTACTGGCTTACATCTCCTGGCTTGCTCAGTCTGCTTTCTCAGTCCAGGGTGCAGTGGGCTGGACCCATCAATTACCATTCAACAAAATGCCCTACAAATTTGCCTACAGGAATCTGGTGGAAGCAGATTTTCTCAGTTAAGGTTCCTCTTCCCAGATAGTTCTAACCATGTCAGACTGACAGAATATTAACCAGGACAGCTACCATCATCACAAACATCAGTGCATCCCCAATCTCATACTGGGTAATGGAATTATTCTCCTGGTGAGGAAGTAAATGAATGCTGTGTCTCATCAAATGTGTCCGGCGTTTCTAGAAGTAAAGCACAGGACACCAATATGTCAAAGTAAAATGACAGTGGCAGCTTTAAAGATGTCCAAAGAAACTCAGACTGTCTCCACCAAAAGGAGATTAAAAAACCATCAGCCACAAATACTTCCCAGGACAAGATCCCAAGAATTCCTACTGCCCACCCATTGTTTCAGCTCCCCCCTTACCTCATGAGAAGGAAAACTAGGAGAACCTCACAGTTTTTCAATTCCCAGTGTTGAGGGAGAGCTGAAGTCTTCTTCTCTGAGACATTCTATATCATATTTAACATTGAAGGAATCAAAGGTGGCAGAGAAATCCGCTATAAAATATTATTAATATTAATTCATATGTAATAATTTAAATTTTAGTCACTTAACTATGTACTTTAATTAGGTTAATGTGGTAGACTCAAGGCAGATGATTCCTTATGGTGATGTCATTTAGGCCCAATGCTCCAATTCAGAAGGAAAATGAAAGTGTAGTCTTACACATTAAAATAGCAATTTGCACATTCATTTTGTAAAGACCGTCCACTATCTAAACTGGCCCTTGGTCAACAATAGTGGAGACACCATTCCCTTGTATGAACTTCTATGGAGTCAATTTGTTGATAGATACCATCCACATATTCTTAGGAAGTAAGTAGGAATCACTAGCTAAATCATAGCTGGCTATAGCTTCTACTTAACTCAATGTCAAAAGTAGCTTCTGGATTCCAATTGCATGCCATGTGTGGGTGTGGGGTAGGGGGAGGGCTGGGTGCAGAATTACTACTTTTTATGAAACCCAACCAGGCCAATAGTTTTGGATTCACAGTAATTGCATATATTTTTATTTAAAAATCCTCCCTAGCAGTATGGGCCTGTTACATAAAGCGATGGAGCAGGTCCCAGTTTTATGTCTGATTCTAATCCTGGGCCTACAGTTCAAGACATATAGCCTACTGTGGCCTTTGCTCTGTCACTTTGCCATGCGATTCTAATGTAGTTTTATACTTGAATAACATAAAATAACATATATAATGTTATTTATGTTATTTTCCACGTGAAGAACTCCTGTAAACCTTGCCGTTTTGAAACTCAGTGAGGCAGGCGTCTTAGACAAGCTGAAAAACAAATGGTGGTACGATAAAGGTGAATGTGGACCCAAGGACTCGGGAAGCAAGGTCAGTCACTGCAGTTCGGGGCCTCTTCTTGTGTGTAAAACGAACCGTAACTGGGAGCAATTGTCCAAAGTTTTTGAAACCTTAAACACCAAACTTCTCTATCCATATAGCTACTGCCTAAAGCAGAACTTAATGCCATAAGTCTCAGCCACTGAGACTGCCCATAGGTAATAAACTGCTCCCCAGTAGTAAATATTTAAAATAAACTAAGATAAAATCGTATACATTAACTATCATTCATATAATAACAGAATTCTCTTACATATAATAACAAATAAAGTTAACTACTATATATGTAAAACAGAATTATCTACATTAGTCTCAAACTATTTACCACTAATATGTCAGTCAGGTTTCTGTTTTAGATAAAGAGACCATAAAATATGTATTTTAAAAGTTGGTTCTTAAAACAGGAAATGGGAAATTGATCAGCAGTTATTCAGAAAGTAAAAGGTAAATATATTAAATAAAATTCATGTCACCACACTGACAAGCATTCTGCTTTAGTTCAAAGAGGCCTGCCTGTCCCATTTCTGGACTGACCAATCTATAAGAAGAACTTCCATATCTATTATCTCAACAGAAATTATTTCAAAAGTCAGTATTATCAGTGTGCGTCCACAAGTTCTAAGATACTTTGCTCTTGAATTAATTTTTAAAGATTTATTTATTTTTAATTTATTTGTGTAGGTGTTTTGCTTTCATATATTTTCCTGCAATTTCAGAGACCAAAGACAGCAGTGGATATCCTGGAACTGGAGTTACAGACAGTTGCCAGTTGCCATGTGGGTGGTATTCGAACCACCTATGGAAAAACAGACAGTACTCCTAACCACTGAACATTCCTCTGGTCCCTGCTCACTAATTCTGAACAGAGCAATGCTGAAGCGTATAGGCTGAATTTGTGGAGTGCAAAGTTACATGTTTATTCTAATTGGAAAAAAGATCCGTCAATCATCATACCTCTATACACTAATAGAATATATTCAAGAGAGGTTGGAGAATAATGGCACATGCTGTTAATGCCAGTACCCAGGAGCACATATTTATGATTGCTCCTAAGTTATATTTGAAGATTTTTAAAATCTCCCCTTGAAATTTTTTATATCATATTCTAGGAGAGAAAATGAGTTAGTGTTTATTCTAAGACATTGAAACAAGTGACTAACATATGGAGAGTTTCTATTAGGGTTAGGAAACAGTCAGGTTAACAGATGCCTCTGAAACAGACTGGAGTGAGACAACCTTGGTCATATAACATAACTGCCACCTTATGTCTTTCTGTAAAGTAAGATAAACACGCATAATTAAAACCATGCTACTTTAAAATAACATGATGAAGCAGGTAAACACACACACACAGAGAGAGATAGAAATATATAAATGCACCACTTGAATTAAATATTCTTCTAATATAACTACTGAAGAACTTGAACTAGTTTTTTCATGCAAAGTATTATGGGATAGATGATAGCCACAGAACACCCTTCAGCAAGACTTCCTAAACATTTTTTTTGAGGTAATGCTACTATATTATAAACATGTTAATACTTTATGGCATTTTTTTTTTACTTATTGTCACAATTTAATATCTTCCAATCATTTGCTTGACTATTCCCAGATCTAAAAGTAAGGTAATGTATATAATGACACTCAACTACAATATGCCTAAAATATTAACTGCTAAGTATTTTAAGTGGCAGTGGAATTATAATTTTCAATCAGTAGAAGTAATTGTAAATACTTTGCTTCTCAATTTGAATGTATTTTTTATTGAAAATTCATTTTAAAAAGCCAGAAGTAGTGACATAAATCTGTAATCAAAGAACTTCATAAGTAGAGATAGCAGGGTCAGGAGTCAAAGCTAACCTCAGCTCCATAGTGAGCAACATAGGCTTCAAGAGACCCTGTCTCAACAAAGCCATTAAATAAAATTAAAATTCTTAAGAGTACCTAAAAATATGAATATTATTAAATAGCAAATATTTATTGTATATTATTGTATGCTGTGTTCACAATAGTATATTACACATACTATTGCTAAGTAGAATAAAAAATTCAAAATTACTATTGCTCATGAGGTTTTCCCTATGGACACACTGGATGAATAAATGATGCATGCTGTAATTCCTTATTATTTACACATACTTGATAAGTTAATGATAAATACTGTGTGACATTGATAAAGACCCTTAGCTCTGAAATTAGGAAATATGGTATATAACTATCCAGGAAAAATATTATAAAATAAAATTGTGCTTTAAAGAATGTTTGAACATGACATTTTAGAAGTCTAAATAAGCCCTCTTCTGCCTCCCTATGTAATATATGAATGCTTACATATTGTTAAGTACAGTGGTTTTCATTACATATTTAGTAATGATAAATTTTTGGATTTTATTTAATATAATAATATATAATTTATTGGTAAATATCATAATTTTCATCCCAAGAGCTCTAAGCTTTATGTTTACATCTATAACCTGCATTGGTGATTTTACCTGTAAATATTTCCCAGTTAAATTAAGCATTTATTTTAATTGGCTACTTGGACTTTATGTGTTCTTTTATCTTTCAGGTGTGACATTCCCATAGTTAACTGAAGTGTCTTTATCCTCCCTAGGACAAGACGAGTGCCTTGAGCCTGAGCAACGTAGCAGGAGTCTTCTACATTCTGGTTGGCGGCTTGGGCTTGGCAATGCTGGTGGCTTTGATAGAGTTCTGTTACAAGTCCAGGGCAGAGGCGAAGAGAATGAAGGTGGCAAAGAGTGCACAGACTTTTAACCCAACTTCCTCGCAGAATACCCACAATTTAGCAACCTATAGAGAAGGTTACAACGTATATGGAACCGAAAGTATTAAAATTTAGGGGTAGGACTTAGGGCCTACGCCAGGGAGTGGGGGATGCACCCTGTAAACGCGGTGTTGTGACCTGTCTGTCCAGTGGTGGTATTGCTTGCTTCTAATTAGAGCTTTCTATTTGTGACATTTTCAGTGCACAGTGGTTCCGTTTTTGTTGGCTGCAGATGTTCTGTTTGAAACTTTATGTTGCCAATAGATATCTGCATTGTAATGGTCAGAGACATGAAAACAAATTAGAATTGCTCTACAAATTCATGTAAACAGCATGATTTCCCCAAAATTGGAGTAATTTTAAATTATATCTGAGCTTTCCTAAAGAGAGACCAGCTAAATTTCTAAGAAAACTCAAAGATGCAAAAAAAAAAAAAAAAGAGCAAAACATTTTAATTGATCAAAAATATAGGAGCTGCCTGTTTTTGATAAGGTTACAGCAATGTTTTCTAAAGAAATAATACACATAAAGGATCCACAACATAGTAAGGACTGAATGAATTTCAGCTCCTACTCTAGCGTGCATTTCATTGACCAGCCATCTTTCTATATTTAAAAGCATTAATCCCTGTTGTTTGTTCATCTAACAATAATCCTCAAGCACAGCAGGTAGTCGTGTGGCCAGAGGTTTTTTTTTAGCTATGATACACATTTATTAAATGAGGTTCAATTTATACAAGGTCACTTCTCACTGAGGCATTCTAGAATCCTCACAATCCAACACTTCTCCATCCAAGAAGCCAAGATGTCAAGTGCATGTGTGTGTGTGTGTGTGTGTGTGTGTGTGTGTGTCTTAGAGTGAAATATTACAGGAGTTATTGTGCATTTTATTTAATTTCTCTACCTTGGTTCCTTTTTCGGAAGCCACATCAGCCCTACTTACACACTCCCCTTGTGTCACAATAAAAGTGATATACACTCAGGAAAAGTACAGATGGAAGTTAATTTTTCAGAATTAAAACATCTACTTATTTCCTCTAATGATCAAAGGTGGTTTTAAAATAAGACCCTGATAGATTTAATATTGCTTTTATAAAATCAGAATTGTTGCAAACCATTTTCTAGAATTACATAGCCTTGTGCGTCAACTATTAGTTTTGATTACATGATAAAAATGAGGCTTTGAACCTTCAAGAGACAGCCAGTAACTGAGGCAGCTGAAAGTCAAGGCAACAAATATAATTTAATGAGATGTACATCTGAGGTTGTGCCAAAAAATATTATTTATTTGATATTTATTGGCATACAAACTTCTGAAACGTGTGCTGCTTTCTGAAAGAAAAAAAAGAAGCCACTCTTGACGATCAAGACTTTGCTGCTTATCTCTGCCTTCTATAAACCTGATATTGAACACACTTGCAAAATATGACAACTCCAGCTGGTTTCTTCTCAGTTTCCTGAAAAACATAAAAACTAAGCCCCCAGTTCATTCAGATAAAAACACTATGAACACATCTTCTGATATGGTTAGGAGCTTTGGAAGAAATTATTTGAAAATTCATGGAAATAAACTGAGACTTGCAAGGTTAATGACCATTAAGAAAATGCTTTTTATCTTCACTTTTATTAAGTTGAAGGAAGATTTCCCAAATGGAGCAAAAATATCTGACCTTTGTTACTTTTAATGAATTTTGATATCATTTTTATAATGCATCTAATTTTTGTGTAACTAAAACTGAGTTTCTTGTTCATTCCAATCATTTGATAAGTCCAAGATGGAGAAGTAATATTTAAAATTTTATAAAGAAAGACCAATGAATGCCATTTATTTCAAAAGCCTGGTAAATTGCTAAAGAAAAGAGTTAAACATTCCCAGGCTAGATACAGATTAGAACTTTCACATCATGGTATCTTTTTAGTTGAAGACTATCATTGAAATTCATCATATGTTATCACCTTTAAGGCTAAATTTGAACTTTTAAAAAATACATTTTAAATATAGACAAAGCATTCATAGTAATGTAAATTTTTTTAACTTTAAAACACTAGCATTCGGAGTAAACAAAAATAATTTGTACCTGCAGCAAAGACTTGAGAGCAAACATTTTTATTTTTCCCCCTTTTAAAAACTTATAGAGACTGACATGGCCACTCATGACAAGACTCTTAGCATTTGAAAGGCTGTGACAAGGTGATTGCTGAAAATTTTAGGCGAGTCTTGGCTATGGACAGAGACTCTGTCTTGAAAGAAAGAAAGAAAAGGAAAAAAAGGGGGCTCTATTGAATATAAGTTATGGTTGTTAATTTAGATGTTACCCAGACTCTCCAAAATCAAACTCTGGAAGCTGTATACATACAAGATCTACAAAGAAATGTGGATAAGGACCAGAGCAATGCTTAGATGTTTGGGAGGCTGGTGCTCTAGTAGAAGACCAACAGTCAGTTCCCAGCACCTACATCAGATGGCTCACAAACACCTGACATTCAAAGATTCTGATATCCTTTTCTATCCTCTGTGGACACACTCAGACACACAGACACACACACACACTCACACCCCATATACACAATGTTGACTTGCTTAGACTCACAATCTTACATCCTATTTTCTTCAGCATCTGAATTAATTCAATCTAAGATCCAAAATATTTCCTCTGAAAGCTACTGTGTCCCAAACTAGTCATCTACTAATGGGTTCTTATTTTTCACCTATCCATGAAAAGAAGGATTATATTATAATGTTTTGCAAAAACTCCAGTCCTAAATCCTGGCTTATATTTCTTAAAGAAATTGTTTTTGTTACATCCTCTTGAAACAAACAATACTGTTTAGTTGGTAGGACTTTAGTTACAACCATAGCAAAGCACTCACTCTCTAAGAATCTCGCAAGAGTCTCCCTTGTCAAAGCAAGATCACTTGCAGTTCAGTGCACTTCCGAGTTCCCAGGTGATAATCTGGCAAGGCCATGAGGGCCTTGAAGGTTGGGTCTTTTCACATGCTTTTTGTTGGTGTTATTGTTGTTGTTCAAGACAGGGTTTCTCTGTGTAGCCACGGCTGTCCTGAAACTCTCTGTAGTTCAAACTAACCTCAAATTCAGAGATCACCTGCCTCTGCATACTAAGTATTGAGATTATAGGAGTGTACCACCATGCCCTTTTCTTCACATGTTTAAATGTAGCTGAATTACTTACAGCTTCCTTGCTGGTGTACTGAATCAGTTTCTGTACAATTTTTAAAAATGTGAAATATGCTCACTTATTATTTTACGTTATACAACTTGTATTTAGCAAAATGCATCCTCCAGTGGTTTTTCATACAATATATTTTGATCACAGTTTTCCTCGAGCATCCGCCTACATCCTAACTCACCTCAGTTCAACTCTCAACAATGTTAAAACTTATTGGAATTTTATCCTAATTTTTCCATTTACAAATAAGAGAAAACTATTCATCCATGTCTGGATATTCATCCACTGGACAAATGTTTACTTAGTGCCAGTTCAGGTACCAAGGGCCACAAAGATGACTTAGCTTGTAGAGCCCTTTGCTATAAAACCTAATAACCTAAGTTGAGTCCTGAGGATCCACATGAAGAGAGAGAGAGAGAGAGAGAGAGAGAGAGAGAGAGAGAGAGAGAGAGAGGACCAACTCCTGAAAGTTGTTCTCTAGCTCAACACACATGCTATGGTACCTGAGTTCACACACACACACACACACACACACACACACATACACACATACACACACACAATAACTAGAGATAATTTTTTAAATACCAGATTTTGGTTTCAAAGGACTAAGGGAAGTTAACCAGAGTGTCATATTAATCTCAGTTCCAACTCCCTCTCCTCCTCTGACTCCCCCTACCTTTGCCTCATTCCACCTCCATCTGCTCCTCAGAGAGGGTAGGCCTCCCATGGGGAGTCAATGAATTCTGTCCCATCACCAAATTGAGGCAGGACCACCATCCTCCATATCTAGACTGAGCAAGGCATCTTTCCATAGGACATTGGCTCCAAAAACTTGTTCATTCATTAGGGACAGCTCCTGTTCCCACTGCAAACGGCCCCACAAACTGCCCCAGCCACCCACTGTCACCTGCATTCGGGAAGCCTAGTTCGGTCCTATGCAGGTTCCCAGCTCTTCAGTCCAGAGTCAGTGAGCTCCCATGAGTTCAGGTCAGCTGTTTTTGTGGGATTCCCCATGAGGGTCATCACTCCTCCCTCTCTTCAACTAGGTTTTTCTACAGTTAATGTTATTGTTGAATTCTAACTTTAAGCCATGGTGATCTGATAAGATACAGGGGGTTATTCCAAATATTTTATATCTGTTGAGGTTTGTTGGGTTACCTAGTACATGGTAAATTTTACATGTTCCATGTGGTGCTGAGAAGATGTATTCTTTTGTGTTTGGGTGGAATGTTCTATAAGTGTCTGTTAAGCCCATTCAAGTCATAATATCTGTTAGTTCTTTCATTTCTCTGTTAAGTTTCTGTCTGGCATATCTGTCCAGTGGTGAAAGTAGGGTGTTGAAGACTCCCACTATTAGTATGTGGAGCTTGATGTGTGATTTAATCTTCAGTAGTGTTTCTTTGAGACATCATCTTGATGGAGTTTTCCTGTGATGAATGTTAAACATCCTTCATCTTTTTTTTATTACTTTTAGTTTGAAGTATATTTTGTTAGATATTAGGATAGCTACACCAGCATGTTTCTCAGGTTCATTTGATTAGAAAATCTTTTCCCAGCCCTTTACTCAGAGGCAATGTCTGTCTATATAGTTGAGATGTGATCCTTGTGTTCAGCAGGAGGATGGATTCTGATCTTGTATCCACTCTGTTAGCCTGTTTTGTTTTGTTTTTTTATAGGTGAATTGAGGCCATTGATATTAAGGGATATTAACCACCATTGATTGCCATTTCCTATTATTTTTGTTTACGTTGTCAATAATGGGTGTGTGTGTGTGTGTGTGTGTGTGTGTGTGTGTGAGTGTGTGTGTGTGTGTGTGTGTGTGTGTGTGTGTGTGTGTGTGTTCCTTCTTTGGAAATTGCTGGTGTGAAGTGTTTTTGTGGGTGTAGCTAACTTCCTTGGGTAGAGGTTTCCTTCTAGTACTTTCTGTAGGGATGGATTTGTTAACAGGTATTGTTGAAATATGGTTTTGTCATGGAATGTCTTTTTTTCTCCATCTATTGTGATTGAAAGCTTTGCTGGGTACAATAATCTGGGCTGGCATCTGTGGTCTCTTCATGTCTGCATATCTCCTGTTCAGAACCTTTTGGCTTTCATTGTTTCCATTGAGAAGTCGGAAGTAATTTTAATAGGTCTGCCTTTATATGTTACTTGCCCCTTTTTCCTTTTTAGCTTTTAATATTCTGCCTTTATGCTGTATGTCTGGTGTTGTGATTATTATATGGCAAGGGGACTTTTTCTTTTTTTTGGTCAAGACCATTTGGTGTTCTGTAGCTTGCTATACTGTCACAGGCATGTACTTTTTTAGTTTGGGAAAATTTTTTTTTATATGATTTTGTTGAATATATGTTCTGTACCTTTGAATTATATCTCTTTTCCTTATTTTATTCTTTTATTCTAATTATTCTTAAGTTTGTTTTTTTTTCATGTTATCCCATGTTTTGTGTTAAAAATTTGTTGGATTTAACATTTTCTTTGACCAATGAATCTATTACCTCTATAGTGGCCTCAATGCCTAAGATTCTCTTTTCCATTTCTTGTATTTAGTTGTTTATGCTTACATATGTAAATACTGCTTGCCTTCACTTTCTATTTTCAGAATTTCCTAGGTTGGTGTTTTCTTTATTGACTTTATTTTAATTTTTAAGTCTTGAGAAATTGCCTTCACATGCCTGATTGCTATTTCTTGGCTTTCTTTAAAGGATTTGTTAATTTCTTCCAACTTTTTATTTGTCTTTTCCTCCATTTCTTTAAGGGAGTTTTTAATTTCCTCTTTTAGAGCCTCAATCATCTTCATAAAGTTATTTTTAAAGTCATTTTCTTTAGCTTCATCTTGCTGTTGTAGAACCACTAGTTTTTGAAGGTTCTGTGCTGCTTTTTATGCTGTTGAGTGTATTCTGACATTGTTTTCTACCCATCTCTTTTTTCAATCAGTACAGGTGAAGCCTCTGCTTCAGGGGGTCCCTCTTTCTCCATTTGGTGTAGATGGAGGCTATGGCACCCTCGATTGCTACTCCAGGAGCAGGCAGGGCCAAGTCTCTGATGGCTGCTCCTCTAGGTGCATGCAGTTCTAATGCTCAGGGGTCACTGTTGTTGCTGGGTATCTCATACAGAGAATAGCACTGGAAGGACACAGTTGCTCTTTCTCAGAAGAGTTTCTGGAAGCTGCTGCTGTCTATGCTTCCAGTCTGCCTGGCTCACACTTCCACTCCAAAATTTTTGTTGTCATCCGGGTAAATGATTCCAAACATAATAACCAACAGCTTTTAATAAAATAATGGATTTCATTAACATAAAATCAGCCAAACATTTAATTTTCAGAGCATATCAAACACTGGAATTGAATTTCATAAGGAATTAGGTAAAACGTAGCTCTCAATAAACAAATGCATCTTGAGTTGCAAGAAATTGGAGGTCCTGTCCCCATCACCACAAAGCTTAGGGGACATATCCTTTATCTTAATTTCCTCTTATTAACAGGATTTAATTACTAGGAAGGATTTGGATGCAGTAAACAGTAAGCAGTAGTCAGTTTACATGATCACAGAGCCGGCTTCTCCTCTGCATAGTGTTATTTCCTACTACCTGAGAGAGAAGGCAGGAAATAGAGATTCAGTGAGAACTCAGAGGCAGGCCACCCTTACTTACTGCAGCAGCAGAAGATCCTGTTCCCTTGTGTGCATTGTCAAATACACCTGCTTTCAGTGTATCACCTTAAAGAATAATACAAGTGGACCTTGATTCCTAACAAGCATACCATGAACTATGTGTCACTAACTGTGCTGTTCTGAGTCATGTCTGTAACTTGTATGAACAAAGGAAAGTGTCTGTCAGGTCTGTTAGAAGGAAACAGGAAATTTGTCATGATTTACAAAATCGTTCTTTGAACCAGAAGAAAACACTATGATTTATAGGAAGTCCATCTGACAGAAGAGAGCTTTGGAAGTAGTACTTCTTTGGAAGTACTAGAGTGTAGAGATCAAGTAGTGGAAAGGTTCTTCCTACCCACATTTTCTCAAAAAACAAAAAACAAGACTTTATGATCTTATAAACAGTTTTAAGTATGTGGGATCTAAATCTAGGCTGATTGATGCATCTATTGTATCTGAGCTTTTCTTTCCCTATAAGCAATTTGTCTATGAGCAAAACCACAAGAAAAAAATGCAGATGTCTAATTATCGATATTTTGGTGTTTGATGTGCCACGTTTTGTTGAAGCAACAGAAATATCATAACACCTGGCATCCTTTCTGTTTCCTTTTCATGCAACCCAGCTGACTTTTTCTGAAGCCATAAGAAACAAAGCCAGGTTATCCATCACTGGGAGTGTGGGAGAGAACGGCCGTGTGCTGACCCCCGACTGCCCCAAGGCCGTACACACGGGAACTGCAATTAGACAAAGTTCGGGATTGGCTGTCATTGCATCGGACCTACCATAAAAACCAAAAAAATAATTGAGTGCCTTAATTAAACTGTGTTGGTGACTGATGGAAATGCAGCCCAGAGGGACCGGCCCAACGTGGGTCTTGGCTTAAACCCATTCTTCAGCTGAGAGCAGGAAGGACATTCTGAGTGCCGGACAGAACCAGTGCATGAGTTCAGCACGGAAATTCAGACTCGGATTTTATATCAGGAAAACTCACAATTTAGTTTTTTGGGGGGAGTGTGGGGGGTTACCTGGGATGGGTGTATTAACAGCAACAAATTCACTTGAGCGCAACTAAAACTAATCAGACTGGCCATTTAGAGCATTCAACTGTGAAGTCCTTTCTCAGAAAGGCCTTGGTCACTACAGCAAAGGATTCAACAGTTAATAGAGGTCAAGGAACCTGCTACCCTGTGTTTCCAGAACACCCATGTAGTTGATGGAATAATCTGCAGCTGAGACGAGCAGTAATTAAAATGTGTTAAGAAAATAATAAACATGTAAATCCTGTGAAAAAAACAACAAAATTTAAAGAAAGTATTTACAGTTACCTTGGAAATAAAACAATAATGAAACATGCTTGCTTTTTAACTGAAGTAAATCCAGTAGAGGACAACACAATTCTTTTTTCTAACCATCTTAGGGAACAATACATTGCAATAATTGATATAAATGTCATCACTGTAACAAACTTTAGAGACTTTTTTAAATGTAAAATTGTTGGTCTCCTTGTTTCCTGTAACCTTCACTCTGTCACACACCTTGGTTCATAGATTGTGTTTGTTTATCAGGAACGCAAAGAAAAGAGTGAAGAACATGTTGACATGAAGTTATCCATCTGCAATGTAGAATTAAAAAAGACTACGGGTCACTCATGCTATCAATATAATTTATAATCCTGTTCTGTGTACAAAATTGTGGTTTTGTACCCACCCAAAAGAATAAAACAGCAGTTTTTCTTACAGTATCTATCTACAGAACTTAAATTTTTCCCTTTGACTATCCAAATTATTTGAGAAACTCAAAGACTCCATGAGGAATATAGAAGTCAAGAGATAGGCCATGTAAGAAAATGTAGCTTGTCTTTATTATTTCTGATCACTATGCTCCCCTTCCTACCTTCTGTCTGCTTATTTGTTAATAGATTAAGTTATCAAAGATGGAATCTTTGAGTCTGGGAATGAACCTCTGTTCCCACAGTACCACACCTGTGTGGAAATTTTACTTGACTCTTTTGCTACATAGTGTCACTTGGACTATTACCCTCATTCCTATACTTGCGTTTAAATTCTTTGAAGGCACTGATAACCATTTGGGGTAGACCACAGCTGAAAAACTCAACCCTTACTTTTACCCAGAAAGTTTTAAGACAATTTACACTATGTTTTTTTTTTTAAGAAAACAAAACACATATGGTTCGAAAGGTCTGCTTCCTTTGAAATGATGAAAGAGTTCAATGACACGGATAAAGATCACGGACTGAGGGATCATTTTAGAAAGCACAAGTTAGGATGACTCCTGAAGTGTGGTCTTGAAGAATGAGTTGAGTTTTCACAGGAGGAGGTGATGGTAAGAGCCTGTGGGTGAGCAGATGCTACGCCACTTCTTTTGACAGTTGCCTGTGTACAGGACTTATGTAGCAGGTGGCCTGTCCAGGGCACAGGGTGTGACACCATGGATGCTCCAGCAGAAATATGGAGAACTGATTTCCTTCCCTTTAACCATTACAATTCCCATTCAATATCTGTGCATCACTACAATGTAATCCTTATAACACATGTACACACTGTCCCTCAGGAAAGGTTAATTCTGTTCCTGAGCAAATGATTCCTTTCACAATCTGAGCCCTCCCTGATGTCTTTTTCTCTTACTCCTACCTGACTTCTCAGCCAGCAAATGGACCTCCACAGCACACAGAACATTGCATCTGCCATTTCTTCATTCTTGGCTCTTCTCTGTCTTTATCTGACTGTCACTCATCCTTCAGCACTCAAATTGACTTTTATGTGTGCTGGAAACTTTTCCATGATTATCCACCAGCCCTGCCTATGACACTGAGTTATGTGCCATCCTTAATGTTTCTTACCCATTACGGCACTCACCATACTGCATTGTAATTGCCTGTGTATTTGTCTGTAAACTACTAGACTGTCAGCTCCTTGAGGGCAGGGACTGTGTCTATCTTGTCCACAGTTGTATCCCCAGCACCCAGCACAGTGCCTGGCATATTGTAGGTGCTTAATAAATATTTGTTGAATGAAAGAACTAATTGAATTGATTTAATTAAGTTGAAGCAGAAAAGCATATTTTCTCCTTAACAGTCCCTCAGCTGTAAATTCGGTATAGAGTGGGATATGATGAAATGGAAGGTTGGCTGACCTGATATTTTCAGTGACACTGAGGAAAATAGCTAAAAAAGAAGTATGCATTAAAGATTCAATACATTTTCTCTTCTTGGTTTTTCAAGACAGGGTTTCTCTGCATTGCTTTTGGCTGTAGGAAAACCTGCTCTGTAGACCCAAGTGGCCTTGAACTCACAGGTGCCCATCTGTCTCTGACTCTGAAGTGCTGTGATTAAAGTTGTATGCCTTCATGCCCAACTTTTTCTTTTCTTTGTTTTTAAAGACAATGCAAAAACAGAGAAAATTGTATTTGGTATGTTATGAAGAGCAATGGGCTTGGCAGAAATAAGAGTACTGCCCAAGGCAATGCTCTCTATTCAGATGGACGGTCCTGTTTACCATAACTCTGTATTCAGATGGACGGTCCCTGTTTACCATAATTCTGTATTCAGATGGACGGTCCCTGTTTACCTTAACTGTATTCAGAGACGGTCCTGTTTACCATAACTCTGTATTCAGATGGACTGTCCCTGTTTACCATAACTCTGTATTCCGATGGATGGTCCTGTTTACCATAACTGTATTCAGATGGACGGTCCCTGTTTACCTTACCTCTGTATTCAGATGGACTGTCCCTCTTTACCTTAACTCTGTAGCACAATTTACTTAGCTAGAGTAAGCCCTTCACAACAAGGGTTAAGTTTAGTATTGAGCTATACTTGTAAAATAGCTTTCATTTAAGCTTGGAATGGATTTATGCTATTTCAAAGAGTTATATGTTTTACAATATAAAGTAATTTTGGGAAAAAAAAAAAGAATGATTTTGTAACCTCTCTGGAGTCTTGGCAGCTGACCTGATATTATGCTTAGAAATTTGATTTTAAAAACATGTAAAAGTTCAGGCTGGTGAGACAGCTCGATGGGTAAAGGTGCTTGCCATGCAAGTCTGAGGACAATCCCTATAAAGGTGAAAGGAGAGAATTGTTCCACAGAGTTGTCCTTTAGCTTCCATACATGTGCTGTGGTGTGCATGTACATACACATACACAGAGACACACACAGACACACACACACACACACACACACACACACAAATACTTTATAAAAATTATAAGTTTAAGGAACTTAATTCTATCACAAAGTGGAAGAATCCAGCTACTGAACACAAGATATTTAATGAAACTAAATATGTCAGGTAAAAAGATCTTAGGAGCTCCACAAGCTATGTTAATCAATATGCAGTGAACACCACCAGGAGAACTGAAGAGCACATTGCTACAGTCAGTCCCAGAACTCTTTGAAAATGCCAGCATTATATGCATTTCAGGTTCTTGCATGTGTTCCTATGTGTCGTTCGGTTTTCCCACCTATATCACACCTATTTAGTTTGTTTTCTAAGGCAGAGCAGTGTTCAATGTTTATTTGTCGGTGCTTAAGTACAACCTTATACATTAAGTCAGAATCAATGAAAATGTACACGATTTTTATTCTCAGAAAACAGAATACCCCAACTTACATTACCAAGGTAGCAGCAACAGAAATAAAACTCAAGCTGAAAGTGATACCTTGGATAGTATGAGAGACAAGCTGTGCATCAATCTGCTTTGTGGGTTTATATATATATAATATATAAATATATATATGTATATATATTATATATATATATATATATATCCACTGCAAAGTGCATGTTTTCATACACAAAAGAGTTTTTTCTCAGACAGTAGTGAAAATTGCAGTCTTATTATTTGTAAAATCAAAGCAAATAGAATATGTGATTATGTAGTATTCCCTAAGCAATTGAGCTATTTTATGCAATGATTATGATGTTACTAGAATAGATAAGAAATAGAAAGTGTTTCTCAGAAAAAAGGAAAACACTAATCTGGTTTCTGTGAAACGAGAAAACCCTATTTAACATTTGTTTTTCTTTGACTTCATTTTCTTTGAAAGTGAAAGAGACTGCACAAACCAATGACAGATGACATAAAGGAACATTCAAACGAAAGGGTTTGGGTAAAAGGAAAATATTCCCCCAAGTGGCCACGAGTTACTTTTCTTCTTTAAATATTTATTTCTGCATTTTAGTATGCATATATGGAGGCGTGTACAATACCCAAGGCTTCCAGAAGAGGCCTCGCAGATGTCCTAGATGGAGAGTCACAGGAAGTGCTGAACTCCAGGCCTTGGGAAGAGCAGAGATCTCTCTCTTTTTTTCTTTTTAATTTAAAACAATATTAGTTGTTGTTGTTATTGCATTCCGATCCCAGTTCCCCCTCCCTCCCCTCCTGCCACTCCCCACCTTCCCCCACTCTGAGCCCAGCCCAGTCCTCAGAGCGGGTAAGGCCTCCCATGAAGAATGAACAAAGTCTAACAGGTCACCTTGAAGCAGGACCAAGGCCCTCCCCACTGTATCTAGGCTGAGTCCATAGGAAATGGGCTCCAAAAAGCCAGTTCATTCACTAGGGATAAATCCTGGCCCCGTTACCCAGTGGTCCCATAAACTGTCCAAGCAACACAGGCGTCACACACATTTAGAGGGCCTAGTTCAGTCCTGTGCGTGTTCCCCAACTATCAGTCTCCAGTCAGTGAGCTCCCACTAGCTAGGGTCAGCTGTCTCTGGGTTTCCCCATAATGTTGCTGACACCTTTACTCACGTTATCGCTCCTCCCTCTCTTCAATTGAACTCCCATAATTCAGCCTTAACCTTGGCTGTGGATCTCTGCATCTGCCGGCGGCAGTTACTGGATGAAGGTTCCATGATGACAATTAAGTTAGTCATTAATCTGATTACAGGAGAGCCCAGTTCAGGCACCCTCTGCACTGTTGCTTAGTTACCCTTGTGTATTCCTGAAAATTTCCGCAGCACCAGGTTTCTTAATAACCCCTCCCTCTATAATGGCTCCCTCTATCAAGGTATCTCTTTCCTTGCTCTCCCTCTCTGTCCTTCCACCAATTTCACTATCCCATTCCGTCATGTTCTCCTCTCCCTTCCCCCTCCCCACCACCTCCCTTTCACCCTCCACCTCCCCGCACAGCACACTTCCAATTTACTCAGGAGATCTGAGCAGAGAACTCTTAAGTGCAGAGTCATCTGTCTAGCCCCAAGCAAAAGAGGGGATTTTTGTTTGTTGGTTTGGTTTGGTTTTTTTTTTTTTTTTTGAGCCAAAATTTTTATTTATTCATTTCTTGGACTTGAAGTACTCTTCAATAACATACATCCTCAGCCTGAGATTCTTTCCCATAGTTGTTAACCACTACACAACTGCAACCAACCACTCGCCTGTGGCTTCCCCTGTCTATCAGTTTTACAGAAGCCTACCCTTTCCCCTAGCTTCTTGTTGTCATCAACCTTAATCAGGTTGATTTGGTGCTCAGCACAAAGTGCCTCCATCAACTAGTCATACATAGGCTCATCATAATTAGATGCCAGCACAGAGAGATGGGCTTGGCACTTGTCTAAGACTTTGGCAGCCACGTGGTAAGCCACCATGGATGAATCAGTCTTCACCAGCTCTTGTAGAGCAGTACTGATGTCCATTACACCTCCAGCTGTAATGCCTTCCTTGGCCATGGTGGTGGGTTACAGGTAAGGCTGAATCTTGAACACACCAGAATCTGCACT